AACCCTTAACCTCTCAACCCTGAACCCCAAGCCCTAAACCCTAGATCCTAAAGCCCCGCACCCTAAACCAAGCATTGTCTATCCGTATAACCCCCCTTACAAGGGACCGATTAACTGTACTAATCCCCTGAACCCCTAAACCCTGAACTCCTCCGTAAAAGGGGACCTGTTAGCCTAGTTAGCTGTACTAAACCTTAAACCCTAAACCCCTAAACCCCTAAACCCTTAACTTTCCCTTAAAACGGGACCTACGAGCTGTACTACATCAGGCCGTGGCAGCGGCAAGCAGCAACGCGGAGCTGCTGTCCTTGGAGGAGCGTTGCGAGGCGCGGAGCCTAAGAGCTGGGAGGCATTTCGGGTTTAGGGTTTTGGGTTTAGGGTTAAGGGGTTTGGGGTTTTGGGGTTTTGGGTTTCGGGTTTAATGTTTTTGGTTTAGGGGTTTGGGGGTTCAGGGTTTAGGGCTTAGGGTTTTAGGGTTGTAGGGCCTTTGTAGTTTGTGGGGTGTAGGTTTTAGGGTTTAGAGCTGGTTAGCTGGGAAGGAAGGAATTGTAAAGAAAATGGAATTTGCTATATTGGAATATAGAGACTACTGAAAAGGATCCATTCCTTCATTCCTAGCTCACCAAAGGTAAGATGAGCGGTTGAGATACATGAGGGGCCCGGAGATTTAGATTCCCATATGCTTTGAACCTCAAACTGTAAACTATCGTCTTTACTATAGGAAACCCCCCAAAAAAATTAGGGCCGCCAAGTTTGGCATTTACAGGGGTTTCCCATACATGAGCTTTCGTCTGAACTCCTTAGAGAGGCTTATATATTGGATTGTACAGGGGAGTATTATAAGGGTTTCCTGCACCCTAAACCCTGAACTCTAAACCTGAACCCTGAATTTCTTCAGGGACACTAGAAGTTTAGACTATTGCTCACACGAGGGGCGGAGCCCAGGGTTGTGGGATTCTGGATTTTTAGGGTTTCTGGGTTTGGTCCAAACCCAGTTTTTGGCGGGGTTTGGAGGAATGACTGGCTGAACAGCTTAGTTTCTTCATTTCTGCCCAGGTGCAGCATCGAAAGTTTGTTGACATTGAGTTGATGCCCGAAGAAGGCCACCAGCCTGCCCTGCATGTGGGAACTTCTTTCAGTTCGTGTTTGTCGAAGAAGGCTAAGTTGCCCTAGGGGTCCAAGTACCCTATAAGCCTATAATCATATACTCCCCCAGAACCTGCATTACAATTATTAATGCAGAAACCCCAAGTACGCAATTGTTCGGTACATGGACCATAAACTAAACCCTAAATCCTAAACCCTTAACCTTATGTGTATCTATATACATATACAAATCTAGATCCCTATATATCCTTTTAAGAGGACACAATTAATTGGTATATGGCCCTTAGGCTTGTTCCGGTTCCAAGAGCCTTCTGGGTTTGAGTAGGAAGTGGAAGGAAGGCAAAAGTTGCTGGTTGAGGTGTGTGTGGTTGCTGCTCATGTAGACCAATGTAGGGCCAACGGTGGGTTTAGGATTTGGGGTTTAAAGTGTAGGCGTTTAGGGTTTAGGGGTTTAGGGTTACGGGTTTAGGGCATAGGGGTCTAGATCCTTACCCAGTTACCCGGAGCCCCAAGCTTATAGAAATGATATCTACATGAGGCCTCAAAGTGAATAGATAGATAGATAGATAGATAGATAGTACCTACATCGGGCCACTCGGCGCCTTAGGGTTCAGCACCACTCCTGTGTGCACAGTGCCCATTTGGGACAGTAGAATCGTGTTGCTCTTCGCCTCGCTTTGCGTCGGCAGTCCAATTACTCTTATAGAGGGTTATATAAAGACATATAGGCTATAGGGCTACATAGAGACATATAGGATTTATATAGGGACATATAGGTATACACCATAGGGGGTTGTAGGATCTCTGTGGTAACTTTTGCAAGGAAGGACATTCCTCAAACCATATTCCGAATCCCTAAACCCTAAACCCTAAAGCGCGGTTTAGAGCAGTTCCCTTAATCAAGGCGCACAGGAGCCTCTGGTTTTGGTGCCTCTCCCTAGACCTTGTAAAGCCTACCATATAAACCCTACACAACCCTAAGATGTATACCCAGATGTCCCTACATGACCCTAAATTTCCTCATATATCCCCATGTAGCCGTAAACCCTAAACCCTAAGGCTACATATTCTTTAATGCAGGTGTGAAGGCAGATCTGGTAGGGACCATCTTGGAGGGCTTTCTTTTCAGCACCCAAGGGGGGGAGGGGTTTAGGGTTTAGGGGTTTTGGCTCCCCATTTGTTCAGCAGAGACCTAATTCTCCGAACTGGCCTTCTGGCTTCTACTGCTTGTTCTGCAAACACAAGAATGTCACTGGCACTGGTGGATGGGGAAAGGCCTACCCCAATATCGCTGCTCTACTCTCTCATGGCTGCGGCAGCAACTGCATCCCTATTCCCTACTGAGGAAGCAGTATCACTGGCACAAGGACAAGCTCACTGAGTACCTTATCAGAGAAAAGCTCTTCGTGGGATCCAATCCTGTTCAGGACAAGACTAGACATCCTGATGCCTTTCAGACCAAAATCTGGTCCATCGTCACGGGAAGTTGTAAGGGTTATGTTTGGGCTTTTATTATAGGCGCAAGGGTTTCCAAGAACTAGGGACCCCTTTGTTTGGGAAAGCCTGTGCCAAGGGTTTGCAGCGTCTTAGTGTTCAGATTGGGGGGGCCCAAGTTATGGAAACCGCCAAGCTGTTCCATAGAGCCCTTATCACAAACCAGCTACAGCCCTTGCAGCATCAACAGGATTCTGTGTGAAGAGCCTCTCCCCTTGCTTCTTGATGATCTCAACTCCGGACATTGATAACCCTCCCTAACAACAACTCCCCACCCCCACCCCCCTAATGATAAATATTTCCCCCAGACCCCCGACATATGTATATAGATATATATACATACGAAATACTACTCTATGGTGTAGTTTCCATTCTCTTTTCCATTCCCCTAGATCACCCTATAGAGCCCCTTTCGTAAGGGTTGGGAAGGTCTATTACCAGGGGAGCGGAGTAGTCGTGCGGTGGGAGTCCTCGCGCCCAAGCTGGTATGTTTATGGTTTAGAGCTAGGGTTTTGGTTTTAGGGTTCAGGGTTTAGGGTTTAGATTCTAGAACTTGTGGCTCGGGCTTGTATAGTTTCGACTTTAGGCTACTGAATCCTTCGTGGGTGTTTCTCGAAGTGATTGATTGTTGGATGGCAGGAAGTATTCAGAACTGTAGAGTTTTGCTGGGTTAGTAGTGTGTGTTAGATGAGAAATATACCCTAAACTCATGACATCACATAAGTCCCCCCCTGCAATGCACCCCCGAAACCTATCAGGCCTAACAAGCAAACCTCAATCAACGTTGATGTTTCCCAGCAATCAACCCCCAAGAAGGCCTCAATGATTTAGGGCCTAGGGTTTATGGTGTACGGCTTGGGGTTTAGGATCTTGGGTTTAGGTTGAGGGTTTAGGGTATTTGCAGGGGCAGGGGCTGGGGATGTCCTTGATAAAGCCAAGAGCCTTAAGCTGCAAAAGCCCCCAGAGCCACAGGAGAAAAGAATGGCCTCGTAGTTGCGGAAAAGACCTAAAATCAGACCGGGATCCCTCGTATGATTTAAGACAGAGTATTATGGCTTCCAGGGTATTGCACCTGGATCCCTCTCCCTAGACATCCCAACATGTCCCTAGAAGTCCCCAGTAAAAGCCCAGATAGCACTTTCCTATAAATACTGAGACCCCAATATAGATGGGAACCCCTGAAAAGGTACCTCGGAAAATCCCAGATCTTCATATAGATATATACATATTTGCACACATGAGCGGAGATCAAAACCCTTCTTATTCAAAAGGGAAAGGGGCTTTCAGAAACAAGGTTTGGCGTAAGCAAAGTGCTGTGTTTCGTAAGGGGTCGTAAGCAATTCTGGGGCAACATTGTTGCCGTAAGCGTCGTAAGCTGTTGTTGCTGTTGTTGTTGCTGTTGTTGTTGGTGGCGGTTATGTCCCAAGCAAACCAGTCCCTGCAGTTGCGGCAGCAGCAGCAGCAGGGCCAAAGCTGCCCGCAAGAGCAGTTGTTGTTTCTAGAATTAGTTTGAGAATGAATTACTTGAACAGTGGTATGGCCTACAAATGGGAATGCGTAGCGTGGATTTCAGTTTCCGTCTAAATTCGGGTCCTGGGTCGCGATTTG